TGAAAACGCTTTTTGGGGAGAGCTGACAAGCCTCCGCCCCTACCCAGCCTTCCCTTTGTTGCCTTCTCATTGGGGTTCACCCATGCGTACAGCAATAGCTCATCTTTCCCACAGCTCCTTTTTTGACAGGCTTTATGGGGATTTGCCCTTGCGGGTGTATTTGATGGCCGGCTTCCTCTTTGTTTCCTTTCTGAAGCCGGAGGCAGATACTGTTGCTGAGTGGAGAGCCTGAAGCCAGGATCCAGGGCCAAGGAAAACGTCTGTGAGCGGGCATCTTCCTGGGGGCTTCTGAAAAGCCTGTCAGGTTCTCAACAAAACCTCTCTTTGTTCCATCTGATGTTGCTTAAGATGCATTTTTAGTCTCTGAAGCAGGAGCTTTGGGACTTGGTTACAAATAGCCCCTGTGAAACTGTGACATTCGTGTAACCGATGAAGGTGGATTGAGCACCAAGTACTTGATATCCACTGCCTCTAACACAGCAGAATTGCAGGTATGTTGACCCTCCAGGGTCTGGAAGGTTGGTCAGCTGCTGTGGGGCTGGCTCCATCACCTCTTTGGCCAAGAGTCTGTCCTGGCACGTTATCCCCCCTTCCTAAAATATGTACTGATCAGGAAATTAAGAGACCAGGGTTTGCATTGCAGCTGTGCTAGAGTGAAGACAAATTCTGGCACACTAAGACCCCCACCCCTTAAGATCCAATCACCAAGGCAGAACACACCCTACCCCTACTTCTTAAAAGGGCACTTCCTCACCCACGAGCTGCTGCTCCCCACCTCTGGGGGCAGCCATATTCTCTTTCAGGTAATAAAGTCTCTTGCGTGGGCCCGTGTCTCTTGAGTCATTCTGGGGTGAGGAGGGTCGCGGCGAGATACCCTTTCATAGAAACCATCTGCTTGATCTTAGGAAAGTCACCTAATGTCTCGGTTCTCTGTCCCCTCCCCTGTGAAATGAAAGGACTTTACTAAATGATCCCCAAGACCTCTTCCTGCTTGAAGGTTCTTGGAGCCAGACTGTTACATACAGAAAACTAGGGGGGATAGTCCTTGTTACCACCTGTTCTCCTCTTTCACACACGCCTCTTCCTCCAACTCTCTGAGGAGGGTGCGTACATGAGAGAGACTTCAAGATGACCACAAACCATGGGTGACACCTCCAGTGTCAGTCCTGGCCTCGCCATGCCTGCCCGCTCTGACCTCTGGGCTGCTTCCTCCAACCTCCAGTCCTTCCAGAAAGACTCGCTGGGTCTTCCTCCCTCTCAGCCCATGGCTGCTCCTTCACAGACCAGGGCTCCCCCAGCTGCCTGCCCAAACCTTGCCAGCTGGCGTGCTCTGTCCTTACTCTGTCCCCCCATCACTGCGGAGGTGGAGTTCCCCCCTCTTGTCTCCAGTCGCCTCCTCTGTCTGTGTTCGTTCTCCACCTCACCGCGCCAGCCTCCTCACCCTCTACCTGGGGAATCTGCACCTGCCCTGTGGGCTCTTCTCATCAGCATTCGACAACTTAGGGCTCTTCCATCTTCAAAGAAAAAAAGGGAGGAAGAAAGAACAAGAGGAAAGAAAGAATGAAAGAGAGAAAGAGAAAGAAAAAGGAAAGAAGAAACAAAGGAAGAAAGGAAGGAAAGATAGATGGGAGGGAGGGAGAGAAAGGAAAAAACAAGCTCCCAGCCTGTTGCTCATAGTACAGCTCTGCCTTCTGCCTCCCTGGCCACTCCTTAATTACCTTTATTATTGTTGTTTATTTTAAAAACAAAAGCAAAACATGCATACTGCAAACAGTTATGATGGTATCTGCCAGCCCCTTCCACCTGGCCGGGCCTACCTGCTCTCACTCGTGCTCCGGGAACAAACCGGTCTATTCCTGGGCTTCAGCGACCCAAAGTGCCTGCCGCAGCCCCTGCCTTCCCTTAAACTCCATCAACCCAGTCCTGTTCCTCCTGCCTCCATCTTCCGTATCTGTCCTTTGTCTTCATTTTGACTACCACTGGCACAGTTGGGACGAGCACCAGCTGCCCTTTCAGCGACTATGACAACCTCCTAGCCATCCTCTTTGCTCCAATTTGACTCCTTCTCTTATTGTTTAAGATCTAAAAATGCCTATGCTGGAGTGAGATCTATCCTTAGAACGCTGTGACTAGGAAATGTCAGGTTACGGTGGTGACCATTGACTTTATTCGAAGTCCTCAATCTTGAAAGGCTGCATTTAGGGAAGTTAAATTGGCTTCAGTTTAGCTGAGGTGTCCGCACTTGGAGACGTGGTGGGGATCAGTTCATTCACCTGGAAAATCAGGAGCTGGACTAGACCAGTGCGGCACAGAGTATGCCAAAAGCCTCAGAATATGCCAAAATCCTCAGAGTTTTTGCTTCTGTAAGTCTCTGGTAGGGCCAGAAAATTTGCATTCTTAAGAAGCTCCCAGACACTGATGCTGACTATTGGTGACAGCTACTAATCTCATAGCCACTAGTTTTATGGCTATTTAAATTAATATTTAAGTTGAATTAAAAATTAAAATTCAGGCACACAGCCACACTTCAGGTGCTTAAAACCACATGTGGCTGGTGGCTTCCACACTGGACAGTGTGGGACATTTCTGTTACTACATGAAGTCCTACGGGACACAGCTATTTCCTCATAGACTCGTGGAGAGGACATATCACCCTCGAGGAGGTAAAATGTCCTTTGACAGGTAAGGCCTTTCAGAATTCCACTTGGCCTATAGTTTAGCCCTATTTTTAAAGACCCAAGGCCCACACCCCATTCTGCTGTGGCACCATTTGCCTCGGGAAGCATGCACAAGAACAGACTGGAAAAGGGAAATGCTGGGATTTCTGTGCCAGGAACTGTGTCTGTGCACCACTGTCAGGCGTGGTGGACAAAACGAACGACTTGGTGGCTGAAGTCCAGTGGCCCTGAACAAGTCACTTAACCTTTCTGAAGCATTTCATCATCTGGAAAGTATTCTAGAAATATCTATACCACAGGGAGATGCGCAAAAAAGCACCTGTCATTCATACCAAATTCAGTTGTTTTTCTCCTCCCTCTGTGCTCCCGTAGCAGGTCATCCACATTCCAGTTTAGTACTTATGCATTCTAGGTGTGTTTCCACCAGCTGAGGGCTGCCGAAGCACAAGGTAAGCCCCCAGTCAGATTGAGTCCCCCCTTCAGCACCTACCCCTGCTGCCGGGCACGTGCTCAGAAACACGTGCAGGTGAAGCCAAGTCATAGTACTGTGTTTGGAGGGCTGTGTCATCGCCCTGACCCACCACAGCTGTGCTCACACTGTGTCTCCGCCTAGAGTGCCTGCCACCTCCATCCTGACCCATGTCTACCTTCTCTTACCTGACCCCGGTGTTGGCTGCAGAAAATCTAGGTGCCCTTTAGTAATCTCCTCGATGATTGATATACCAAATTAATCCATCACCTGCGGAGTCAAATCCTGCCTCTACCACTGCCTACCCAGGACCTTGGGTAATTTTTGTAATCTTGTTAACCTTCATTTTCCTGATCTACAAATTGGGCAAAAAACACCTCTCTTTCAGTTCTGATATAAGACTTACACAAGAAAATGTATGCCAAATGCATAGTCAATTCTGGATTATGTTTTATTTATTAAAAACAGCCATTTCTGATCTCCAGAGTTTGCCTTCTCAGGGACTCTGGTTGGTTAAGGCCTTTTAACTACTCTGAGAAATTCTCCATTCTGCAACAAAATCCAATCTTCTGAAGACTTCCCCTAAATTATCCTTTATTTCAAGTCATTCACTTAGCAAACCTTTACGGAGCACTTACTATCTGCCAGGCATTGTGCTAGATGATGAGATACAAAGGGTAGAGAATGGCTCCAACCTGGAGAAGTTCATAATCTAGTGGGGACCCAACTTCCTCCAGAAGCCTTCCCTGCCTCACCTTAGGGTGGGTTGAAGCCCCTGGTCTACCAGGTCTGGGGTACTGCCCTCCACCCTGTATTTACCACATTGCTTTGCCTTTTATTTCAAACGTGTGCTTGTCCCTCTTCTTAAGTATTCTATACTCATTAATTCACTTAATCCTCACAGCAACCGTAAAACGTAAGTACATCATTATTCCCATTTAACAAATGAGGAAACTGAGGCACAAAGCCACTAAATAACTGCTGAAGGTCTTGTAAATACAGGTAGAGGGAGCGGGGCTTTGAAAACACATCTCTGTAACCAGCTTTAAATGTTCCGTTTAATCTGTTTCCTTCACTGGAATTTGAGATTATGCCAAATTCAAATGAATATCTCCTGTACCCTTCGCAATATCTGGCACAACAGGTAATCAATACTGCATTCATCAAATGAAAAAAAAAGAAAGGAAGGAAAGAAGAAAAGGGGGGAAAGGAGAGAAAGAAGCACACAAATAAACAATCCCACAGTGGTTTGGTTACCAACATTTACTGGGCATCAATACTGAACAAGTGCCTAAGATGGGCAGACGGAGCCCAAGGATAAATTAACATCCCTGCTCGCTCAGAACGTTCAGTAATCGGTGCGTTAGTGTCAAGAATTCTCAGGCGACAACCGCGTCTTCCCGGTGGCCTCCTTCCTCTCGCCCCGTTCCGTTCCTCTAAAGTTCCTGTTCCACCGCTTCCTTTCCCTTCGCCATCCCCTCCCTGGATTTCGTGGTCCGAGGTTTCCGGGACTCCGGCGCCGGCGACGAGAGGATCAGTGCGTGGGAGCGCTCCGGCCGCGGCAGGCATGCGCAGTGGGGGCGGTGCACTGCGCATGCGGGAAGATGGCGGGCCTGGCGTCCTGAGTGCAGTGGGTCACCCCGCTGCGGTCCCTTCTGCGTCGTAGCTCCGGGGCCCTGGGGCAGTGGAGCCTTGGCTCGGGGCCAACCTAGCCAGTGGCGCTTCCGAGCAGGCCGCGGGCCCGGTTTGCTTGGCCTCGGGGAACCGGCGTGTTGGGCGCGGCGCCCGCCCGGAGCGGGAGAAGGCGGGAGAGCCCGCAGGGTGCGAGGGCGCGGGGCGGCCGGCCGGGCAGCATGAGTCAGCAGCGGCCCGCGCGGAGGCTGCCCAGCCTGCTGGTGGACCCGGCGGAGGAGACGGTGCGCCGCCGCTGCCGAGACCCCATCAACGTGGAGGGCCTGCTGGTAAGCTCGGGGAGTGGGGCGGGGTGGGGGCTCGGGCCCAGCCGCCGCTCCCCTTCCCTGGGGAGCCGGACCCGCTGCCCTCGGGGTCGTGCGCTCCCCCTGGGCCGGGCCCGTGGCTGCTCCTCAGGTCCCCCCTCCCCCCCCAGCCCTCCGGCAGCCCATCGCATCGTGCGAACCAAAGCGACCGTGGGCATGCACTTGCCTTCTTGAAACACTTGCCCTCGGACGTACAGTCAGTCTTCTTGTCTTTTTCCTCGGGATTACAGAACACTTCTGCAGAAAATTGACCAATTTTATGTTAGACGGTCATGTTTTTCTGTCTCCACTGGACCTTCAATATATCTCTGCAACCTGTTGTACTGTGGACGTCTCACATGCTTCTACTTAACTACAGTCATGTGAAGCCCTGTCCACACCTCACGTCTCCCACCCTACAGCACCTTTAGCGTGTTAACCTCTCTCCTGTTGACAGAGAAAATGGGGGATAGGGCTTCCTTTCTACAAGAGGTTAATTTCCCCTGTTCTTGCTGTAGGTTAGACGCCGGGCATTCTCCTTGGTACCCAGGGCCGTTGATGAATCCGTCATTTTCCATTTCTCCCCGTATTTTCATTTTTTTGTTGTCGGTTTCTTCCCATAAGTAACTAAACATTTATCAAAGTCAATATGCCCAGTTCCCAAGGGTATTCAGTGCTCAAAAATAATATATGAGTATAATCTCTCATTTAATTTCTCACAGCAGTCCTGTGGGATTATTATTCTTGTTTTACAATTGCCAAAATATACACTTGGAGATGTCAGGTGGCTTGCCAATAGCTAGATAGTATGTACAAGTCTGTATTTAACTTCACAATGTCTGATTCAGATTATAAATTCTTTACTAAAACTGCATCGTAAATCCATCCCCATCTTAAAAAGATCCCTTCCTTAATTCCATATACTCTTCCATTTACTGTGTCTCTTCCTCTTCACAGCCATACTTTTGAAAAAATTGTTTGCGTCATCACTATCTGCTTGCTCACCTCTCCTTAACCACCTTAACCCCCACTGCCTGGGGATGTGTGGCTTCAACATAACTTTTAAGACTGTTCTGACCAAGGTCACCAACAACTATCAATTCCAGCAGCTATTTCACTTCTTAGCTGTTTCTTTTGACACCATTAACCACTCACTTTTTTTTTGTATCATTAATATACAGTTACATGAGCAACATTGTGGTTACTAGATTGCCTTACCACTCACTTTTGTTGGAAACACTGTTGGAATGGCTTCTTTAACCCCACGTACTCGGTGCCCCATTGCTCCTCTGGCCTCTCCTTGTGCTGCTCCTTTGCAAACTCCTCTTTCCTTTCCTTACATCAATGTTGGTGTTAACCGGGGTTTGCTCCTCTGCCTCCTGTACACATTCTTCATGTGGGACGTCATCCACCACTCTCAGGATATCTGGTACCATCTACACTGGTGTTCTTTGAAAATTTGATACAAGCTCTGAACGCTGGAAGATTGGATTTTGCACTTGAAATCAAAAGATACATGCCTTGTAGTCTTAGATAGTCTTAGATAGTCTAATCCACTCTGTTACTTCCAGTCACCATGTTGTAACGACTCCCAAATCTGTAAATCCAACTTGAGCTTTCCAGCTGTCTACTAAACATCTCTCCTGGGATTCCAAATTCCTATTACTAACCATCCTATTACTAGCCACTACTAACCATCCTATTGCAGTGTTTTCCTGATTCTCATCTTGCTTCCTGACTTTTCTATACATTCTCCACATAGTAACCCCCACAATGATCTTTTTAAAGCATATTTCTGATCATGTCATTTGGCTTAAAGAATTTATCATGGTTCCCAAGTGTTCCCAGGATAGGGCAGAAACATCTTAAAATCAGGCCTCTGGGTTTATCTTTCTGAACTGCTTATACATGCTAATTTTCATACTTCCATATTCCTTTGGACCACTACCTAGTCATACTCCCCTTTCCCATAAAAAGTCTTCAAATACACAAACACACACACAGTTGTTACTTCCCATGGTTTTTAAGGTCTAGATTTGTATAGGTCAGTAGTCTGAAGTCTTCCCTGATCTCTCAAGACTGAAATAGGTCCATTTGCGCTCCAAACCACCCGGTGCTTACTTAGCCCTCTTTGCAGCATGTAAGTCAGGTCCCAGAGTGTAGCAACTCTGTCCATTACATTGTTACATCCCCAGCACATTTGGTAAATAGTTATTGAGTGATGAAATAGATACTTTGTAAATGTTTGAATGTATGAGTATTTATTTTTCCTGCCTGTAAAATGCGAATTTGAACACCTATATCAGTTTTTTTAATTGGCTCTGACTGAAAATATATAATAAGCTGTGTATCACTATGCAATTAGGTATGTGTCTGGCTGTTTGCGATTCTGTGGGTCAGTGGCTTGAAATCTATGGAATTTTGAGAAGGGAGAAAATAGTATTGGCTAGAGGTGGAACTTAGTCTGCACATTGCAAAACTTTTTGAATGAGAGAGGAGAATACAGTCACCCTGGAGAAAGGTGTGCTTCCGAAGAGTTCTTAAAGGGGTATTACTCCCCCCAGTCAGGCAGTTGGTACAAAGAGGAATCTGGATAGAGAAATTTTTAACCAATTGAGAGGCACTGCTTAAGATTTTAGTCTGCAAGTCTCACCTTTTATTCCTTTCTTTCTCCTTTGAGTTCTCAAAGTTTAAAGTATGTGGGTCTTGAGATGGGGGACATGGGGCAGTAGCAAAATAGCTTGCAGTGTGCTTGGACTTACCCACCAGGAGCTGCTGGGTCCTGCAGAGCCACCTGCTCTGAGATCTTCCCTAGTCATTTTCAGTTTTGGAACATTTCCCAGCTAAGAGCAAACAGGCTAGAAAATACACCTGAACAAGAGAGACACACACACACAATGTGAAGATTGAAAGGGAAAGCTTCTTAGGTAGTCCGAGATTTGACTACTGGGCTCTCCCTCTGCGTCCCCACAAGGAAATCAT